TCCTCATCCAGTACGTACTCAGCTGGAAAGCCTCCCTGTGAGGTACAGAAAGAGAGACCCTGGGCAAAGCCTGATGGGGCTGAGGGGCAGCAGCAGCTGCTCAAATCAACCAGCATGTGGAATGGGAGCAAGACAGCATGCAAGGCAGAACAGCCATCCCTGCAGTTTTCATACCAGCCCTGCCCCACGCTCCTGTCTCTGCTCCACTTGCCCTCCTAGTCTGCTCCCAGGAGAAGCAAAACACCCATGCAAGGCACTTGGGAGGCCATAAGGGGCTTCGGAAAGCATCAGCATGGAACCATCCCCCCTTCTGGCCTGGCTCACCATGGGGCAGATGAGGCTCTCCCGGTTGTACACAGTCCCCCAGGTGGCAATGCCAATGGTGACAATGTCGCCTTCCTTGTAGCTGCAGCTCAGGACAGAGTCTCGTACTGCCTCTCCCACCTGTTTCATCACACCAGTGTGGGACCCCCCCGTGATGATCCAGGCCCCTAAAGGTCAGAGAGAAGCTTGGGAATGGAGAGACCCTGCTCACAGCAATCTCTTAACATCCCACTGTATGGCTGTAGGAGCACCCAGTCCTTGAAGATGCTCCACCCCCCAGAAGATATTTTATCTGCCCTTTGCATCAAGCCCTGCCAGCACTGGAGAGGCTTTCTGAACAGTGCAGCATGTCTTACCAGTGGTCTGGGCCACTTTGACTAGCCCTTGCCGGAAGATGTTCTTTAGCCTTGGCTTCATGACAAAGTTTTTGGCTCCACCAGTGACCGAGATGAGCAGGTTGGGTGCATCAAGACCCCAGTGCTGTGTCATGAGGTGATAGATGACCCGTGGAGGAGTATCAGAGGAGACACGCACATACTGTAAAAAGGGAGCACATGTATTTCGGGTAGAAAGAATTGGGCTGGGCAGCAGAGCAACGCCACCACACTTTCTCCTGTCCCAGCAAAGAACTGGGGGCTTCCCCTACCATTTCCTGGCACAGGTCTCTTGCTTCTGCCCTAACTCTTAGTGCGTGACCCTGTTCCAAACTGTGTCCCTGGGAGCTTGCATCTCCATGATTGCCTGAGTACCTGAACAGGGAACAGCCATGCCTTGGAGCATGGAGACCAGTCTTACTATTTCAGAAAAGGACTGGGTACAGCACCGAGAGCGAGGAAGGATGTTGTCCCATCCACATTTCTGTGCATGAATCAGTGCTGTCTTTGGGGCATTTCCATGCTTTCCTAACCTCCTCTCATCAGGAGGGAAATACTTGCACTTCATCTTCCCAGGCAAGATCTGAACACTGACTCCCATTGTACCACAGAGGGGAGAAACAAATCACCTTTCCTGTCTTCTGTCCCAGGCCCGTGAAGTGGATGTCACCAAAGGCATCTGTTGGCATTTCCTGGATGTGCCTGCTGGGGTCCCACTCCTTCCCCAGGAAGAGGGGAGGTTTGGCAGCATCTTCCAGGTGCTGTTCCCTGAGGTAGCCACACTCGCACACCACCCTCCTGCAATGTACACCACCAGCTCCGTGGGAAACGAGCCAGTCTCAAAGGGCAAAGCCCCAGGGGTTCACCTGCCTCAACCCAGCTGGAAGGTGCTGGCATCATCATTAAAACACTACAGGCACCAGCACCTCCCACCCAACCTGACTTCCAGCTCAGAACTTACGAAGAAACAAGGGCTTTTTCTAGTAGAAAACATAGCAAACATTGGTATTTCTATCTACGGTGGCTTATGACAGAAAGTGGAAGGTTGCACTGGATGAAGTATGAATGGAAGTGACTGCATGGCAAGCATCAGAAGGGTAACTGCCTGGGAAGCTGGCTATCGGCCATGCAGTGCCACAGAGCAGGATGAAGGAACACAGGCAAGAAGGTCTTGGTGAATTCCCTTGGCATACCAGTTTCCCTAACAGAAAGGTGGGATTTTCTAGTGAGGCAGCTTTGTCATCAGACGTTCCTTTTGTTCCCAGGCAGGGGAGGGGAAGGAGGGACAGTCTGACTTACCCAGAGTCTGAGGTCTGGGAGCTTTCCACAAAGTATGTGCACTCTTTCTTACGGATGTTTTCAGGAATCCATGAGGTGAGATTTTCCTGAGGGAGCAGGAAGAGCAGTGAGGGGTCATTGTTTCTGTGAAGGGTCAGAACTTGCATCAGGAGCCAGATGCTGGTGCTTTCAGCAAACCTAGGGGCCTTATTAGTGCTCCCCCCAGCCTGACATTCCTCACTGATGTGTCCCAGGACAACTATTCTCCCACCACATATGTCCAGCTCCCACCTCTACCAGCTCCAGACCTCCAACTTGCCTTCTCATTGCTGCCAGAGGGGAAATGTGCCTTCCGCTGGCCCTTGCCAATGCTGCTGCTGCTCTGCTGGAGGTTGGGGACCACCTCAAAGTCGCTCACCTCCCTGGGGTGCATGGTGGGGCCGTCCCCTGTCTCAGGGCACACTTTGTTCAGCTGGGAGGGGAGCACCTTGGTGTGCCGGCCACGCACCGCCATGGCTGCTCCTCTCTCCTGTTCCTAAGGGGGGAGGTGCTGCACATCTCCATCCTGAATGCAGCAAAGGAAAAGGATGCACGTGAGCTGAAGGCAGAGCTGGGGCAGAAAGGGCTGCAAGGTGGCAAAGCAGCGGGTCAGCAGGTCTGAGCTTAACAAGGATTCTGGCTGCCAGCCTAACCCTGCATCACAGCCAGAATGATAAGGGCTGGGAGAACTTCCTGGTGTCAGGAAGGAGCGGTGGAGCAGAATAATGGCTGCACTGCACACCCAAGCTCAGCTCTGCTGCAGGTGAGGAGCAGTCAGGAACCCACGGGGCAGCACTCAGAAAAGTGTCCTTCGGGGCCTGGGGACAACGGCAGAGTGCAGGTTGCCTGCCCCCAGCTCGGCTGCACACTGCAGGAAGCATGCAGCCCCTCACCCTGGGGTCACCCCTCCCCCAAGCAGGATAGTCACAGCACCTTGCAGGGACAGGGATGCAATGCAGGTGCTGCAAGCTGCCTGCAGACCATGCCAGCCCCCCTCCCTGCTCCCCACAGACACAAGCCATACCTTCCCCACAGCATCCTCCACCTGCATCACCAGCTTCTCTACTCCATGCCTGCGGTGGGGATGTCAGCCTGCCATGTCCCTGTGGCAGGTCATCTCGTCGCTCGAGACGCAGCGGTGAGTGGAGAACAGGGCAGAGCTGCCTGCAAGCTGCCTGCAGAGAGGAGGAGAAGACAGGGCGGCTGGCAGCCTCCCAGCAAATCAGGCTGCAGCAGCAGTCCCTGTGCACTGCTGAAAGCTGCAGCACAAAGGCGAGCCTTGAGTCTGCCTGAGTCACGCTTCTCCTGCAGTCTGAGGGCGCTCAGCAGCCCAGTGCCGGCAGCCCCTTGGGTCATGCTGTGGGCAGGCTGGGAAGGTTGATATTGCCAGTTATCCATCACAGGCACAGCCCTCAGATCTGCTGGCTGAAGCTGTGTCCACTCCTTCATGTTGCAATGCGCTGAGATGCTGGGGCAATGCATTGAACGAGCACACAGTCTGAGTGAAAATGTGGTGTTTTGGCCACATCCTATAGCTCCTTCCTAGCCAAAGCATGCAAGTTAGCAACAGCCCTCTGTGCAGCGGGTTTTTGTCATTTCCTTGAACAAGAGCAAACTGCTGAGATTTGCTGGAATAACAGATGCCATTAATAAGGCAGTAAATAAAATCCATGTGCAATGTTTCACAGATCAGTTGTAATTAATGCTGCTCTGCCAAAAGAAGGGAAGCCAGGACTGCACAATAATTACACATTAATGCAACTGTTCATCCGCCCTCAGCTGGATGGCTTTCTGGAGACAGTGGTTTTTATTGCATTTCTGTGTATGCCAAAACCACTGTGGCCCAGTGGGACCCACATGGAACCCTTGTACGCCATGGGAAAGACTGCAGGACAAGGCTTTGTGGGGGGATCAGTAAGCATTTAATCACATAGTAATTAGGTCTGCCAATACCAGTTGAGGCCTGTCTACCTGCTCAGGAGCAGAGCACAGTGCAGCAGTGCATGTGGTTGCCTGTGGCTGGTTCTCCCTGCAGGACCCTGTGCTGCCACAAGCTGTCCTTGATGGCAGTGTCCCGTGAGGGCTTGCGCTGTGTCCATTGTACAGTGGTGGAGCCTGGCAGGGCTATGCGCCCCACACACAGCCAAAGAGCTGCAGAAATGTGAGTGGAAATGCTCCACCACTGCTTCTGTTCAAGCTGTGGCTCCAGCCCTGGGTCAGGATGGAGTCTGCCCTGAGGCCAGGACTCCAGGCACAAGATGGCGGCTCTGGGTGCTGGGCACAAGATGGCGGCGTTGGGTCGTCAGCACAAGATGGTGGCTCTGGGCCATTGGTAGCAGCACAGCACTGGACGCAGCCTGAGCGGCTGTGCCAGTGCAGGCCGGCAAGCTGAGACAGATGGAGCAGGGCTTGGAACATCCCCCTGCTCCGTGCACTGGCGACCTCTGGGCCCAGTCATCTAGAGTACCAGTGTCGACTTAGATAGCACTCAATCACTTCAGTAATAAAATCAGGCCTTTCCACTCATGCTCATATCCCTAACAGTCTGGAATGTGGCTCTGCAAATGTGATGGAAAATGATGAAAACAACACTAAGAAGGTTTTCTTCTCCTGGAGACAATACATCAGTCTGGTGTATTAAGGTGAGCCTGAACCCAAAGGTGCTGACCGTCCAGACTCCTCATCATCAGGCGACAGGCATGGCACCTGCATTACATGCCAGTGCCCCCAAAATCTGAGTTAGGTCACACACATCTTTGTAGAGGAATTGTTCTCCTGGCATTCTGCATGTGTGGTCAGTCTTGTAAACACAAGGAATGGAAAGCTGGTGTTGACCCACTAAATAACTCCTAATCAGCAGATGTACGCTGACACATAAATGCTTTGGTGTCATTTTTGGTGGCATGCAGATTCAGGAGATTTAGCAGATTTAGGAGATGTCAGCAAAGTAAAAAACCTAGATTGTCAACATTCACCATCTCATATTCACAACCCAACCCGCTGTGGACTGAGGAGGAGCTGGGGAGGAAGGAAAGATCAAAAGGAAACATCAGAGAAAGAGCCATAGGGCATAACAGCCTTTATTGAGCACAGGGAGGGGCACCCCAATAAAGCCAGTCTTCCTCCGCACTGCTGCGCCCTCAGTACATGCAGGGGAAGAGCCAGGCGTTAGGGCTGGAGTCCCCATCCCCTGCCCTGCGGGGAGCGGCACTGCGGGGGCAGCAGGACAAGTGCCATCCCCTGTGCCGCGGCTCCGTGGGACCCCTGCAGCCCTGCAGCTGGAAGCTGGTGGGGGGCAAGCAGCGGCACATGGGGAGGTCTGAAGTGGGCTGCGGCCAGCTGTGGGGACAGGGGCTGTGCTTGTGAAGGTGGTGCGGTGGGGAGGGAGCACAAGGGCACGTCCCCCGGTGCAAGGCAGGGAGTGTCTGCCTGTTCCCACGGCACTGATGGGGTTGTGGGGGGGTTTGCAGCCCTGCCAAGAGATGCTGTGACGCCCGGTGACACTGTGGTACACGGGACCGTTGGCGGATCTGGCCATGCCCCTCAGCTGCGTCCCCTGCCCTGGGATCCCATGCTACCCCACACGTGCAGCCTGGCTCCCTCAAGGGGATGCGAGGTGGGGTCTGCCCTCTAAACAGTGGTGGTGAGGGGGTCCGGACCCAGAACGGGGCTGAATTTTCAGGGCGTGTATTGTCTTCATCCTCCAACATCAAGGGGAACCAGCTCTGAGGGAAGAGGGGGCATAAATCAATCCCTTTTCTTCCTGGTGATGGGACAGGGGCAGGCATCCCCATCTGGGAACTCACCTGCCTCTCCCTCCTCTGTGCACCAAAAACAGGGGGCGGCAGGACAGCTGGGGGGCTTGGAGTCTGGTGGAGGAAAAGTGTAGTTGGCAGCAGGGTCAAAGAGATGGGTGGTTAAGAGCAAATGTTTTTTGGGAAAAGCAGTTCTTTGGGGCACTCACCTGAGCAACAGCTTGCAGCGGGGCACGGCAGCGGCAGTAGTGCGGTGCTGGGTCCCTTCTCTGCCTTGGCTGGGGTGGCAGGGGTAGCAGCTCTGGTTCGGGTGTGCAATGCCTTACACGGGGGTGAGAGATGGGGGAGTGTGCAGGGGGGGTGGGCCTGAATGGCGGTGGGGGGGTTCGGACCCAGAACTGCGGAGCTGGGTTTTCAGGATGTGTGTCATCCTCATCCTCTGACATCCAGGGGAACAAACTCTGTGGGGAAGGGAGCATAAATCAATTCCTCCTGACATGAGGGATGGGGTCACCCCTGTTTGGATACTCACTTGCCTCTTCTTCGTCTCAGTGTTGAAAACGGGAGGAGAGAACTGGGATGGAGAAGTTGGTGACTGCAGGAGGAGAGCAAGTTTGGCAGCAGGAAAAAGATGATATCTGGAGAGGCATCACCTCTTTGAGGACAGGAAAAGGTGTCTGGGGGAAACTGTTTTCTGGGGCACTCACCTGAGTGATGGCCTGTGGGGGTGTTGGGGGGTGGCTGTGATGGAGTGCTGGGTCCCTGCTCTGCACGGGCTGGGGAAGAAGCTCAGCTTCAGCAGTGCTAAGCCCTGGGGGTGGCTGGGAGGCAGGGGGCAGCACGGGGAGCTGTGCGTGGGAGAGTCCCCCTGCGGCTCCCACGCTTTTGTGGGGAAGGAGAGTGGACAGGTCAGGCAGGTTGTGGTGATGCTCCAGCAGGGCGGCCAGCAACGTACGGCGTCTCTCCTCTGCCAGCGCGCGTCCCCAGAACTCGGCGGGCTGTGGCAGAAGGGCACACAGGCGGGCAGCCAGCCCCCGGGCAGAGGTCACGGCGCTGAAGGAGTCTCTGTCACCAACCGCCTTCTCTGAGGGGCTTACTGGAGGGGAGGGTGACCTCTGCCCTTCCTTCTCCATCCCCTTGACAGGCCCGGGGGACTCCAGAGGTCCTGTGAGCTCCTCAGCAGGGGGCCGTGGGGGGGACCGTTCCCCCTGCCCACCCTCCAACAACCGCTTTATGTCCATGGAAGCCACCCCCCGGCCGAGGAGCCCCCGGGGACGACACAGGCGCTGCTGGGTGATGATGACGGGCCGGGGGGGCGGCAGGGGGCTGGGGGGAGGCTGGGCGGCGCGGGGCGGAGGGAAGCCGACCCAGGGGTGCCTCCCCCCCCTCCATCTGGCACCACGCACGCCGGGGCCGAACTTGGCTCGGTTGCGCTCGCCCCTGGTCTTGCGGCGCTTGACGCGGCCGGGCCCGGCCCTCGGCTCTCGGACAGCGTCCCCAGCGTCCCCTCGGCCTCGCTGCTGGCTCATGGCTGCGACTTGAGGGAAACAGAGGGGCGCTGGGTGACTGCAGGGGCGCCGCTTCCCATCAGGCCCGCCCCCCCCGGTACCGCCAGGCCCCGCTCAGGGCCTGCACCCCAACACCCGCCACCCGCACACACCGCCAACGGCCACCAGGCCGCGCCCTCCCGTCGCAACCCCGGTGGGCGGGGCCGAGACGGCTGCACGCGCTCCTCGTCCCTCCGCTATTGGGCACCACCAGCCAGCTGGGTTGGGGGACGGCTCGGATTGGCTGCCGGCCGAGGCGGCGGCTGCGGATTGGCTGCGGTGGCCTGGAGGGGCGGGGCGGGGTTGAAAGACCGTGCCCGCGTCCCAACGCGTCCCACAGAGGGAAGGCGGCTGCGAGGGGAAAGGGGGGGATTATCGCTTAGAGCAGAAATCGAGAATAAATCATTTTTCTGTTGTGCACTGGAACGTCAGTGCTAGAAAACAAGGTCTCTAGGGGTAACATAGAGCCTCTGACACTACGTTCTGGGTTTGGTTCCGCTGTGGCTCTTTGTGGCAGCAGAGGGAGCCAGAGCCTCGTGCCCTGCTGCCCGCCGGACCGTGGCCCTGCTAAAGCTCTCTTGGTCAATATTGGCAAATAGTGCATTAAAGTCAAGTTCAGGTGCAAACCAGGTGCAAAATACAATGCGTGGAACGTGGGCTTCTTCAGGGCGTGATCATCTAATGATCAACTACTTAGCAATACCTGCTCTGTGTTCAACTGGAAGCATCAAGGAATTTCAGCATGTAAAAGCCAACAAAAGCTATTTTAAAGATGTTGATTTGTTAAGTTTCGTTTACTTTTTACGCCAGGTTTGACCAACCTCCCTGGAGCTTTGCACATGAGCCCTAGCTAGGACCTTGAATCTTCTCAGCCAACTCCTTTGTGCAAAGAAAATTGCTCAGCTCAGCATGGTGGGCAACTGCTGTTCCATCTTGGGACGGGATCTGGTGGCCCTTATCCTTTCAGGCTTCTGAACAGCAAGCATTTGAGTCAGAAAAATAAAATAATTCTTTCTCGATGGATGTGTGACCCTTGGTTGTCTTACAGACTTGGAGGGAATGCAGGGTGTGCAGTAGCTGATATTCCCAAGTCCTCCAGGCTTCTTGGCTGGGCGGTGAGCTGTATGCCATCCTCTGCATGCTTGGATGGGCTTGGGGGAAAACACAGAAAACAACTGCTCAGGCCAAGCTGCTTAGAAGGCCTTAGAAGGAAAGAAGGTAGAACTAGGAATGCCTGAAAGACTGAGGCCAACTCAGACCTAAAGAAAGCGTATTTCAATCACACGGATCTCCTTTTGGTGATTCCTTTTGGACAAAGTTGCTGGGGGAAATAATCAAGCACTTGTTTCCCAGGGATGTTCCTGTGTCGCTGCTGTTGGTTGTTTCTGTTGTGCAAAAGTGCTGCAGCCTTACAGAGAACATTTTGTCTGTTCAAACCAAAGACAAAGCACATCAGATGGAACTGAAATGCCGTTTGGTTTTAAAATAAGTCCTTGCGGAGCTCTGCATGCGTGTGCTTTTGCCTATTGATTAAGGTGTATTCTGTTCCTTAAAACAGTTCCTTTCAGTGCCTGTAGGACAACACGAATTTGTGCAACACCAGTAGAGCTATTAGCTATAGTTATAGGAATATCAGTATAGCTATTGTGGAAACAAAGGCATCTGTAAGCTTGGTTTTTCTAATCCCTTCCCTTCCCTTCCCTTCCCTTCCCTTCCCTTCCCTTCCCTTCCCTTCCCTTCCCTTCCCTTCCCTTCCCTTCCCTTCCCTTCCCATTAATTAACAAAGAGAACTGCTTTGCTCCACAGAGGCTGGCTCTGTAAATCATCCCCTCACAAATGACATGACCAGAAGGCAAGATCCTGGCACTGGTGCTTCCGGGACCCACTGGGGAGCAAGTCGTACAAACAACTGCTGTGCCCACACTGCGTGCCTCTGTTCTGAAGAGGATGTCCTCAATGCTCCTATTGATTTCTGCCTCTGACAGAGCTGGCTGAAGCATGTGGGATTTTCTGGCTTTGAGAGCTATTTACGAAAAGCACATATTGATTGGGTCCTTTGGGGACAGGTTGGTGGGATGCGTTCGCTACTATTAGCTTCCTCTCTGTAACCAAGCTTCAGTGAATTAATGGCCTTCTCTGAAAAACATCTTTAGAATAAGGTGCTTGGAGAACTTGCTGCCAGCAATTCTGGTAACAGTCTTTGGAACTAATGAGCCTGCCTGGAAAATTAAAAGTATTGCCTAGCATGGTATTGATTTTTATTCCAAACTGAGTAGAAATGAAACTGCTGAACTCTTCCAGCAGTTGCTCTCTTAAGTGCTATAGCATCCATTGGAATATGTGGTTACTGTTGTGTCAGGCCTGCATTTGTGGGCACTGTGGCACTTCCAGTTACTCCGTATCAGTGGGAGAACTTCCAAGGCAGCGGCCATTAGTAGGAGGCTCTGCAAACTGAGCAGCGCCGTCACTTGTGCTGAGCAGAGTGCCGTGGCTTTGACTGCACTGTGGGTAAAGTCTGAACAAAGGGACCGGGAGCAAAAAGAAAGGGGAATGTGGAATGTTTGTGGTATATGCTGCAAATCAGCGCACACTGTGCTTTTAGCTTGGCCCCAGGAGATGTGCTGCGTTGTGTGCACATTGGAGCTAAGCCATGAACACCTAGAGCAGTGCTCACACCGTGCATCAGCTCTCCTCTAGTTCCAGTGCTGTGCTTAAGAAAAGATAAGGAAATAAAGAAGGTGGAGGTGCGGCACTGCCCATGCCAGTGTGTGTCAGTGTGAGTCTCGGTGCTTAGGTGAGACCACTGAAGATCATCCAGTGTTGTAGCAGACCCTGCTGGGACCTGAGTGACCCTGATAACCTCGGTGACTTTGTCATCCTCCCGCAGCACCTCATTAATTCCCGCAGGGGAGAGCTGCAGGATGGGGCTACGTCAGTTGCAGAATTATTTCCCCTCATCATCACTCAAAGCATGTTATCATGTACTTCTCATAGCCTGCAAAGCCCTGTCTGTATACCATAATCAAATAAGCTGTGCAGGTCCGTGGACCTGAGCACACGGCTGCACCCAAGGGCTCCACCAAGCAGTGACATGCCTTCTCACTCCAGCAGCGTCCATAACCCAGGTGATTGCAGCAGAGCTGCTGGCTGTACGTGGGTGATGCAGGGACCCATCCTGCAGCAATAAGAAATATTAAACAGGAGGATTAAAGCTTTTTGAAGACAGAATAGGTTTTGCTTTCATAATATTTTTCTTTTCAGCCTCCACATGAGCTGGCGCAGCTTAGTGTGCTACAAAGCGCTCTTTATTTTCCCTTGCTCAGAACATCTCTAATTAATTCTTGGCAGGACTATCTAACTCTGCATGTAGATAGGAAGAAACTCCAGCAAAGCTGGGTCCTCCTGCAAGGCCACTCACTTGGTTCTTTCCATTCCAGGCCTTTGAGTGGGCAGGCAGGCTTTCCTTTCTTCATACGGCAGACAAGTGGCTGCGGTGTAGCAAAGGCACCAAAAGTCAGGTGCCACAGATGCAGTAGGGAAATGCAGCAATAAATGCAGCAATAAATGCAGCAATAAATGCAATAAACTGCAGATGCAGTAGGGAAATGCAGCCTCTAGAATCACAAGGGATAAATGATTTTTGTAGACTCAGACTAAAAGCAGCTGAAAGCTTGCAGCTGATGGAGGTCAGAGGAGCTTGTTTTACCCTTCTCTCTGAAGGCTGCAATACACTCACTGTCAGCAGGGACCTGCTTTTTTGTTTAATGCAAACTAATTGGCTCCACTGGGCACTGGGTGCACATGTGCATTTTAAGTTCTGGGTTTTAAGGTTCAGAGAAAGCCAGAGAAGACGTTTAGTGTTGAATGTTTTTGTGAGGAAGGAATTCAGTAACCTCTTCACAATTTGCACAAGTCACATTTCTGAAGTTTTACTTCCCTGAAGAGAGGGAAAGAAATTAAGATGGTCAGGAAAAGTAGTAATAAGCTGAGCGTGATCCTGGATTTTCTGCATTTGTTTCCAAAATATCAAAGTGCCATTGCTAAAGTTGATGCAAAGATCTTATTTTTTTTCTTTGTGTGCACAGTGTTGAAATATAATGCAAATGTGAGCCATTAAAATAACTCTGTGAAGGTGACAGAATCAGATTGGTGTACTAACTCGGTGACGTTTCTCTCCTTTCCCCCCACCCTTCATTACACAGTGCTGCTATTTTACAGCACTAGAAATCCTTTTGGATTTTTGTGGCTGACTCAGAGCTCCAGACCTTTGCTATTGAAAGAAGAAGAAAAGGGGAGGGGAAGAGAGGTAATGTTTACAGTGAACGTAAATCAACCACACTTTAAAATATTTCTGAGAACACTTCATTTTGTGTCAGTTCAGAGAAGCCTTTTGGCTTTATGCCTCCTAAAAATAAATACCACTTCATACTTCAGTAGTTTTTTTTTAATGCTCTGTGATACAGTTCAGAAAATGCAATATAATTGGATCTTGCTATGACTCAAGTGATAACTAGGCTTTATTTTGGAGCAGATTTTTCTAATAAAAGATGAAATGATTTACTTTGCATAATTCCTCGTCTCTTTTAATGATCTCCAGCTGTACAGATTTGTTTTCAGAAACAAACAGTTGCTTGCCGAAAAGATGAAAAGCATTGGCTTCCTTTTCTTCTGGATGCTGATGAACACAATAACAGGTAAGACTACTTCCATTTATTCATGCTGACTTTTCAATATAGAAACATTTTCACACTCAAACAGCATCTTCTATTTAGTATCAGATATTGCCTGTGTATTAATCGCAACTCCTTCCTGGCATGTTTGATTTGCAGTGCTCTTGACTACAAATGGGCAATTCCTTGCTCAACTGTTGGAGAAACAAAGCTGTTAGACTATAAGGAGGGCTCCAAACGTATCTTAAAGGAGTTGCCAGCATTTCTCTATGCACCAAACCTTTTGTTAACAGAAAATTCTCCTGTGAGAGA